ATTAATAGATACAGTATGAGATCTTTTACATTCACATAACCCTGAATTTGTTGTCATACAGTATAATAATAAAAATACAAAAATATCTCAATCGGGAAGTAGTTTTTCAATCAATCATTTGTTGGAATTTTACTCTATGTTAACAAATTTGAAATATTTTGACAATTTTGGTATAAATAGGCAAACATTGCATTGAATTCACATAACAGTAACATTGAATTTATAACTACTTTCAGAAACCTTAGATATTACACAACAGTTATTAAAACAATAACTTTTTACTCATTTTTATCGCCAGTATTTGTAACTATGGCTAAAACGCACGGACCCACCGATATCAAGGAGTCGGCACTGGAGCTAATCGGGAACACCCCACTACTGGCATTGGACCGTATATGGCCGGGACCGGGACGTATACTCGCGAAGTGCGAGTTCATGAACCCGGGCGCCAGTATTAAGGACCGGTCGTCCCTATCGATGATCCAACGGGCGCTCACATCCGGTAAACTCGCGCCTAAAGCGCCTATAGTTGAGGTGACGAGTGGTAACCAGGGCTGCGGACTGGCAGTGGTGGCCGCCATTATGGGCCACCCGTTGACGCTGACCATGTCGGCGGGTAATAGTCCCCAAAGGGCTGCTATGATGAGAGCACTGGGAGCTAACGTAATGCTGGCGCCGCAAGTGGAGGGTAAGCCGGGGAACGTTACCCTCGCCGATGTGACAGAGGCTGAGAACCTGGGCCTGAAACTAGTGGCAGATACCGGTGCCTATTATGTGGATCAGTTCAACAACGACGACAACTCCAAGGCTCACGAGGAGACTACTGGGCCCGAGATATGGCGCCAGACGGGCGGTCGTGTCGACGCATTCCTGGCCACTGTGGGAACGGCCGGCACTTTTGCCGGCGTTTCCCGGTATCTGAAACGCAAGGATCGGGACATCCATTGCTGTGTTGTGGAGCCGGCGGGGGCTGAAGTGATCAAAGGCGACCCCATCACCAAACCCCTGCACCTGTTGCAGGGCTCGGGCTATGGGAAGGTTCCGAGTCTTTTCAAGTTTGATACGATGGACAGTACGTTAGGTGTGAGCGACGAGGAGGCCGTCCACTACAAGGACCTGTTGGGCAGCAAAGAGGGTCTCTATTTGGGCTATACGTCCGGCGCTAATGTGGCCGCCTGTGTGAAGCTGTTGCAGTCGGGCAAACTGCCCAAAGATGCCTGGGTGGTCACCCTTCTCAATGATACTGGCCTTAAATACCCGGCTGATAATTAGATGTGTTGGTGGTATTTTAATTA